TTATTCCCTTATTCCATTCTATTTTTTATTCCCCTATTCTATTCTATTCTATTCTATTCTATTCTATTCTATTCTATTCTATTCTATTCTATTCTATTCCATTCCATTCCATTCCATTCCATTCCATTCCATTCCATTCCATTATTCTATTCATTATTCTATTCTATATTCTAATCTTATTCTATTTCTATTTTCCATTAATCTAATCTAATCTATTCTATTTTATTCTATTCTATATTCTATTCTATTTCTATTTCCCATTAATCTATTCCATTTCATTCCATTCCATTTCCCATTATCCTATTCCTGTTCCTGTTCTTGTTCCTGTTCCTTTCATTTCCGTTCCATTCCATTCCGCTCTATCTTAAAAAGACCGTCCTTGTTCAAATTAAAGCCCAATTAGAATCAAGAGCTCATCTACTAGGCTCGAATCTGTTATCTGTCATTAAACCTCAGTTCCAGAAATAGTTAAATCGGATCATGATTGATCATCATGACATGATCACCATCCTCTACTGAATTTATACGCTTCTCAATCTTTCAGCAACTCCACAAAAATCTTTCTCTTAATATAACATTTATGTTTCTGCTATGGTTCCCCCCACCCTTATTAAAATCTATGGTCAACTCGTAAAACATTTTGTACACGTTTATAGTTGACAACAGAAAGAAGGGGAGGGAGGGTTTCAAAGAGCAGGCAGCGGTGGGATTGAAAGTACATTCCATTCCTATTTTTCTTCGGAGACTGATTAGATGACTGAAGCTTCTGCCACGCAACAGTGTAATTGGAGAGCATGATTGATGACTCTTGGCTGTGGACGTGTTTCCTTGGATGATACACCCAGAGGGGTGGGTGGGTGGGGAAGCAGGATCAAGGGTGACAGCGAATTATGTATCTCAAGAGTTGGCATGCCCAGGTTAATGCCGGATGTAGAATGTTACCTTCAAATAAATATTTTTTAGTTTTGGGAGTGTGGCTCGAGGCTCATGATTTAATTGGAGTAACTGCCGGAATCCTGACATCTATCCTGTTAAGCTAAACTAAAAATCTGTAATAAATTTTATTCAATTTCTGAGTCGGATGAACATAGTCCAGAATTTACCCACTTGGAATAGTAAAAGGAAGTTTTCAAATTTAAATTACAGTTGAGTTTCTCATATGACTCTTATGTGGACATTTTTTGCCTCTTATTAATACCAGGTCCTTTCTCGTATATTGAAAAAAATAAAAGTTTTCTGGAAGCTTGATTCCGCAGTTAATTAAAATATTTATGATCGAAGACCAAAGAACCTGTTATGTCTTTAGGACTGGTTGGAGTTCCCAACCAGGTCCGCTGTTTGAGCGGGAGCATCAGCAGCTCCCATTGGTTGGCTCCGTTTGACAGTCGGCTATAAAAGCCGGCTGTCGAGCAGAGCCAGCCGTTGTTCACTTGCAGTCTGCCTTGTTAGCTAGCAAACACGACAACCCTTTATTCCCTGAATAAAGACTGTTAGTTGTATGCTCTGGTCTAAGCCTCGTCTATTCCTTCGCTCCACAACACTGGCGACGAGGATGGGATATGACCGCAGGCTAGCCAGAAGCACTCAAATTCAAAAAAGCTGAAAATCACGCCAGCGAAGCCTCGGAGCTGAACCGCAGCCGCTTCGCACTGAAAGCTCAAGCTCATCCGCTGCGAAAAGAGCTGAAGTCACGGCGCTGAGATCTCAGCCGCCCACGCCCCCGAGAGGGCGCGAAATTCAAACCGCTGTTGTTTGAATTAGTTACTCAAGCGAAGTACGGCACTGTAGCCACAGTCGCCAACGCTCCCCAGAGAGCGCGAAAACCAAACTGTTATCACTAAGCTGAAGTCAGTTACGGCGCTGTTAGCTGCCGCCGCCAACGAGCGCAGAGAGCGCAACGCAGGCTGCCCTTGCAAGGGCCGAGTCACGGAGCGAGTCGAGGGCGTTGTAGCCACAACCGCCAGCACTCACGATAGCGCAGCCCAGGGCCATGACCAACCAGAGAGATAGCCCGGTCTACCGACGACACCGAGGGGCCCAAGATGAACGCCAACCCGGCGTTTCAACCATTCAAACCCAACGAGGAGACGTGGGACTCCTATAAAAATCGCTTTAGCCATTACATCGATGCCATTGGGTTAGCCGACGCTGCGGAGCATAGGAAGAAATCGTACTTCCTTAGCTACTGCGGGGCTGCAGTTTTCGACACTGCCACGGCACTTTTTGCACCACGTGACATCAAGAACGTTCCATGGAGTGAGCTACAAGAAACACTCTCGAACCACTACTCCCCTAAACCTTCCCAGATCGCAAGACGCTACGCGTTCAGGATGAGGAAGCAAGCCGAGGGATAATCCATCAACCAGTACATGGCCGCCCTGAGGACAGCCGCTCTTCAATGCGAATTCAAGAATTACTTAGACGACATGCTTCTCGACCAACTCGTCTGCGGGGTAAGAGATCAGAGGCTCCAACGACGTCTGCTGGCCAGGAAAGATCTAAATCTTTCCCAAGCGGTGGATGAAGCCCTAGCTGCTGAACTGTCCGTCCAGTCAGCAGCTGAGATTCAGGGCACCGCACCAAAGCCTGGTACTTCCACCGTCCACTCCGAGGAGGTGATGAGCGAAACTGACCCCTCTGAAATTTCGGATGTCCATCGCCTCAAGCAACTGAATCAGCCACAGGTAGGAGCGAGGCAGAGAAACAGCAGTGGCCCACAACAGATCCCTTTGTGCCTAACCTGTGGGGGTTCCCATTCCCGGGCATCTTGCAGGTTTAGAAACGCCAGTTGCCTAAACTGCCACAAGAAAGGTCACCTTGCAAGAGTCTGCCAGGCAGCACGCGCTCCTCCCCAGAAGTTTCCTTCATCTTCTAGCCTCCAAAGGCAAGTAGAAGACTGTTACACGTGTTACCACGCCAACCACACTTCCCAAACTCCAAATAAAATTAAACTCTCTCTCTCCCTAGAAGGTAAACCTTGCACCATGGAGGTGGACACCGGCTCAGCGCTCTCAATCATCTCCTGGGATACGCTAAAAAAGATTCAACCCAGACTGACCAGGAAGCAGCTGCAAAAGTGCCACCTCACCCTGAGAGACTATCAAGGCAAGAACATCCCTGTCCTCGGGAAAGGCAAGTTCCTTGTTAAATTCCAAACCTTCAAAGGCCATTTGCCTTTAGTGGTGGTTAATGGTACCCTCCCTAGTCTTTTGGGGTTAGATTGGTTCCCCTCTCTTGGCCTTAGTGTAACAGGGATTCATGCTGTCTCAACTTCTGATGTAGACACATTGTTCTCTGACTATTCCGATGTTTTCAGTAGCGAGCTGGGTTGCTACAATGGCACACCCATCTCCTTCTCCATAGACCCCCAGGCAGTTCCTGTCCGCCTGAAATTCCGTAGAGTACCTTTTGCTATCCGCCCCAAATTAGACGCGGAACTAGACAAACTTCTCAAACAAGGGGTAATTGAACCCACAGATTTCGCCAAGTGGGAGACCCCCATAGTCACCCCACTCAAAAAGGACGGTAGTTTGAGAATTTGTGCTGACTACAAGACGACCCTTAACCGTTATCTCCAGGTTAGCGCATACCCCGTCCCAGTCATCCAGCACCTGTTGCACACTTTCGAACCCGGCACCATTTTTGCCAAGCTAGACATGTCACAGGCATATCAGCAGTTCCCTGTCGACAGCCACACAGCAGACTTACAAACCATAGTAACTCACAGAGGGGCATTCAGGTGTAAACGCCTCCAATTCGGCGTTAGCGTAGCCCCAGGTATTTTTCAGTCACTAATGGAGAGAATTCTCCAAGGTCTTCCAGGAGTAGTCCCCTACTTTGACGATATTTTGGTCTCAGCTATGGACAGGCCCCAGCTCCTCCAGAGGGTTAGGGCAGTATTGGAGAAGTTTAGACAGCATGGTCTCAAACTCAAACGGGAGAAGTGCACCATCGCCACTAGACAGGTGGACTTTTTAGGATACAGACTAGACGCCTCAGGCATCCACCCAGTGGAGTCAAAAGTAAAAGCCATCCACGAGGCACCCACACCTACCAATAAAACGGAACTACAAGCCTTCCTGGGTTTATTAAATTTCTACGCTTCATTCTTACAAGGCTTCAGTCGCTGAACCTTTACACAGGTTATTAGATAAAGACACTCCGTGGCACTGGGGCCCCAAAGAATCCCATGCATTTAAAGCGATCAAATCTCTGCTCACCTCTGACGCTGTTTTAATTCAGTTCAACCAACGCCTTCCCTTGGTCTTGGCCACTGACGCATCCCCTTTCGGGATAGGAGCTGTCCTAAGTCACAGACTTCCCAATGGCACCGAGGCGCCAATTGCTTTTTTTTCCAGGACCTTTTCCATGACTGAAAGAAACTACAGCCAGATTGATAAGGAGGCTCTGGCTGCAGTAGCGGCAGTCAAAAAATTCCACGAATTCCTTTTTGGCCACCATTTCGAACTCATTACCGATCACAAGCCACTTTTGGGACTTTTATCGGGGGACAGGCAAACTCCACAAGTACTGTCCCCCAGGATGACTAGATGGACATTGTTCCTGGCGGCCTATTAGTTCAAGCTGGTCTATCGCCCCGGTAAGACTCTAAGCCACGCAGATGCTCTCAGCCGCTGCCCCTTGCCAACCCCAGTTGAGGACCCAGCTCCGGTACACGCAGTCTTCGAAGTCAACGAACTTAAGCTACCTGTGACTGCAGATGACATCGCGGCACACTCCAAGAAAGATAAAATAATCGCCCAGGTTCTGGACTGGGTGGGGAGGGGGTGGCCGGAAACAAAGTGTTCAGTTGACTTTGTCCCATTTAAAACACGTCAACAGGAATTATCAAAACTCCAGGGATGCCTGCTGTGGGGTACCAGAGTCGTTATTCCAACCACTCTTCGTGTGCCCATATTGAAGGTGCTGCACGAGGGCCATCCGGGTATCGTGCAAATGAAGGCATTGGCTCGCAGTTACGTATGGTGGCCCGGGATGGACGATCAGATCGCAGAGTGGGTAAGCTCCTGTAAACCCTGTCAAGAATCTAGGGCAGCCCCACCAACAGCCTCACCCACTAAGTGGGAAAGCGCCAATGCCCCATGGTCACGGTTACACATCGATCTGGCCGGGCCTGTGCATGGCAAAACTTTCCTGGTGGTTGTGGATTCGTATTCTAAATGGATAGACGTTGCCTTGCTCCCCACGACCACCACACAGGCAGTTGTTAAAGCCCTGACCCGACTTTTTGTAACTCATGGGCTTCCAGACACGATAGTCTCCGACAACGGGCCGCAGTTCACGTCCTGTGAATTTAGCATGTATGTCACGAATCTGGGCATCAGACACGTCCTCACGGCCCCCTTTCACCCTGCTAGTAATGGGATGGCGGAGAGAGCAGTCAGGACGGCTAAGGAGGCACTAGCCAGATTCGGTCAGGAAAACTGGCATTCCAAGTTATCCCGTTTTCTCCTCAGCCAGCATACAACTCCATGCACAAGCACTAACAAATCCCCGGCTGAACTCTTAATGGGGAGACGTTTAAGGACTACTCTTGACAGGCTGCACCCTCATTACTGCCCTGATACCCCCTTGGGATCTGACAGCCAGGTACGAGACTTTGCCTTGCAGGACCCAGTTTTTGCAAGGAACTACACAGGGAATCCATTGTGGGTGCCAGGTCAGATCGTGGCTATCACCGGTCCAAGATCCTACCGGGTCCAATTAGAGGACGGTCGCGTGTGGCGGAGGCACCTGGACCAACTACGCAGGCGGCGGAACGACCGGACCAGCAGTGAGCCGAATCCACCAGCCAGCCCTCAAGTCCTCGCCCAGGTTCCAGAAGGGAGTTTCCTGAGGGACCAGACATCCCCATTCGAACTGAGTGAGCCGAGAACGGACCCAGACTGCCGACCCGAATCTCCATCACATCCACCCAGCAGGAACACCAACCACCCAGACCGAGACGTTCTGCCGAGCCAGCCCGAACGAGGGGAGACATCTCATTCCCAGGATCCAACGCCAAACCAAGATGACATCCCGGCGACCTCGGAGTCTTGCTCCAGGGACTCGATGCCCACCAGCAGTCTCCCTGAGCTACGACGTTCCGGTCGCCAGCGAAGTCCACCCTCATACCTCAAAGACTATGCATGTGCCCAGCTAGGGGGGAGGAGTGTTATGTCTTTAGGACTGGTTGGAGTTCCCAACCAGGTCCGCTGTTTGAGCGGGAGCATCAGCAGCTCCCATTGGTTGGCTCCGTTTGACAGTCGGCTATAAAAGCCGGCTGTCGAGCAGAGCCAGCCGTTGTTCGCTTGCAGTCTGCCTTGTTAGCTAGCAGACGCGACAACCCTTTATTCCCTGAATAAAGACTGTTAGTTGTATGCTCTGGTCTAAGCCTCGTCTATTCCTTCGCTCCACAACAGAACCCCCACCTAGAACCAGGTACAGTAACATAATACAAAACGCACTTAACAAATTTTTCACTTAGTCACATACATTTTGGGCTCGGTTCTGGCTCTTCTAAGTGAAGGACTACCGGTTAATACAAAATTGAAAACTCAGCAAAAATATTTTTTTAAAAAACAGGATACTTGAATTAAAAGAAACAAAAGACCATGTTCGAACTCTGCCCACTCCCTCCCAGCACTGATGACGTTACCTACTTTGGTAATGAAATGTCTGCAAGGAAAGCAGCGAAGCTCAGACAAGCCCAAAGACCCCATTATCTCAGATATGTTGGCCAGGTCTCTTAGCCTCCACATTACCTGTGTCCACTCGTTTATCTGAGGATCATATGATTCTACTGTATTAAGGTAGGCTTGTCCGTCATATCCTCCCACAGCATACAGCTTATCTCCAAGAAGGCAGACTCCCACCGCATCCCTACTGATGCTCATTGATGCCACAGCAGTCCACATATCTGTTTTGGGATCGTATCTGATTAAAAAAAAGAAAAAAAAATAAGAAGTTTCCATTTTATTTCATTGAGGAACTGTCAACAAAAATATCTGCATGTGTTTGTATACTGCTCCCCTGAAACCCGTTTTGATTTTTTGTGAAAGAATGATCCCACGAAAGGTAAGGCGAACCAGTAGTAAAAAAAATGCTACCAGTTTGGCCGGTATTCCCGACAATCAGTGCGACAATCAACTATGCTACGCGATTTAATTAGCTAGAAAGCAGGAAATCATCAATTTCTTGGCTTCTAGCTAATCTAATTCGCACGGCACAGCTAATTTCCCCCACCTGCTGTTGTTCTTACCTCAGAAGGCTTCAAAATGCTTCTTTTTCAGTGCCCAGAAGGCTTCCCTGAGACCCAGTAGGCTAAAACAGGGCACGGGAGGATGCCGCACAGCACCCCTGCGCCCCGTTTTTGCTTCCAGGAGGCTTCCCTGAGGCTCACTAGGCCAAAAACAAAGCGCAGGGGGGGGCTGCTATGAAAGGGGAAAAAACTTTTGCCCCCATCACATGACCACATAGCCACACCCACCCAGTCACATGACCACCTGGCCACACCCACAGAACCAGTAATAAAAATATTTGAATCCCACCACTGCACATAACCAAGAGGCTGTTGCAACGGTCATTAAGTGTGGGAAATGATTGTAAGTCACTTTTTTTCAGGGATGTTGTAACTTCGCATGGTAAACAAACTGTTGTAAGTGGAGGGCTGTAGAAGTGTACAAGTAACCTTTAACTGACACAATTCAATGGTTAAAACAGCAACTATTAGGTTGACCACGACTGTGTCAAGCCTTCGAGCTTAAGCGAAGTTAACTGTTTATTGGGACTGTACCTTTCTACACAATCAGAGAGTCTTGACGTCAAGTTAGACGCTGGTGCATCATGACCCCCGATAGCATACAGGAAGCCATTCCAGGTCGTTACTCCCACGCCCCCTCTTCGTTTGGACATTTGAGCACAGGGGGTCCACTTGTTCGTGTGCGGGTCAAAGCATTCGACGGACTTCAAGCAAGAACTCCCATCTCGTCCACCTATTGCATAGAGCCTGTGAACGACCACAGAAATGTTAAGCGAGGGTTAACACTAAGCTATCCGTACCCATGCACAACAGAATGGGGCAAAGTTCAAACTGACCCTGAATTATGGATCCAGGAAAATAATAATAGTAGTAATAATAATAATAACGTGAATGTTTGAAAAGTCTGAAAAGCAACATTGCAAATGTTTCGCAAGTTAAGTTCATCAGGAGGAAGCAACCTCTCCAGGTTTCTAACAATTCTTTATTCTGCTGAACAAGATCAGCCTTTAACGCCTTATATAGGGAAAAGGTGCGTGTGAGACCCTATTGCCGAAGGTGGAATATAAACTTGAAATTGGAGCAATTTATCACGCGTTGTTTCCCATAACTTGCTTCCCAGAAAATGTAGCCAATTGTTGTGAGACTCCCGGGATCTACAATACGGGACTGAACAAAGGGAAATTCTGGATCAGAAAGCAATTTTTTCCATACATTCCTCCACAGATAGTTCAGAAGTGGAAACGATTCATGAAGTAGAATCTGTTCATTTGGCAACTAAATGCAAAGGGATTTTTTTTTCTTTCCCTCCACCAATTTTCCTCTGATTCCATAGGACAGTGATGGTGAACTTTTTTGTTGTGGTGTGCCAAAAGCACATGTGCTGGTACCCACAATGCAAAGTGCCCCGCTCCCCCCTGTGCATGTGCGCACAACACCCCCTATCCTCTTACCTGCACTGCACATGCGCGTGTCTCCCAGCTGATTTCCGGCCCGTTTGAGGCCTTTTTCGGCCTTCCAGAGGCTCAAGGGAAGCCTCTGCAGCCCTTGGAGGCCAAAAAATGGGGCTGTTTTGTCACTTCCAGTACTTCTGGTTTTGTCACTTCCAGTATTTGGAGGCCTAAAAACAAGCCCATTTTTCGGCCTCCAAAGGCTGCAGAGGCTTCCCATGAGCCTCTGGGAGGCCAAAAAAGGCCTCAAATGGCCCAAAAGCCAGCTGCGAGGCGCGCACATGCACAGTGCAGGTAAGTTTGGCTGGGGCCCATGCGCCCACACAAATGGCTCTGCGTGCCACCTGTGGCACGCGTGCCATAGGTTTGCCATCACGGCCATAGGATATTCCCAAACTTGTGGGTTTCCACTGTACATGAAGCGGTATTAAAACATTTATCATAAATTACAGTTACAATATACCTAATGTTTCAGGAAGAAGCTCTGACAGCAGCACTAAGAATACAGGTCGTCCTGAACTTACAGTCATTCATTTAGGAACTGTTCAAAGCTGCAACAACACTGAAAAAAGTCACTTTATGATTGTTTTTCACACATACAACAGTTGCAGCAGCCCTGTGGTTATGTGATCAAAACTTGGGAACTGGTTCATATTTAGGACGGTTGCAGTATTCCCAGGGTCTTGTGATCACCTTTTGTGACCTTCTGACAAGCAAAGTCAAAGGGGAAGCCAGATTCATTTAAAGCCCATGTTATTAACTTGACAATTCCTGTCATTCACGTGGCAAGCAAGGTGGTAAAATGGAGCAAAATTCACCTAACAACGGTCTCGCTTAGCAACAGAAAGTTTGGGCTCAATTCTGGTCGTACATCGAGGACTTCCTGCACCAGAAAGCCTTACGTTTTGGTTCTCTGTACTTACTTTCCGCTTAGTACTGCTACACCCACTGTACTCCTTGGAGTTGACATACTGGCCACAAAGTTCCACTGACGGGCCTGTGGGTCCCACCTTTCTACTGTGTTCAGGTAGCTCCAACCATCGTGTCCCCCCACAGCATACATGGGACCTTCCAATACTGCTACTCCTTCAAAGAAAGCAAACATCACAAATTGCTCAGTCCTGGAGCAGAGCTTTCTCACTTGGCCAATAAGGAATTTGATTCAATTTCATTCTATTCTTGAAAGGGAAACCAGATCTCTGTATTTTCATACAAGTTTTCAGAGAACATAAAATCTCTCCAGGGAGATGCACATGCCCACAAGGGGGACTGTATCCACAACTTAGTTCTCAAGTAGGGTATAAATAACATGAGAAATCAAGTAAGTTTAATATTCATAATGTTGGCTATTACTCGAAACGCTTAATAGCAATAGCACTTAGATTTATATCATCTCCTTTTAATGACCTAATAATCCCTTGTGGGATATAGTTTGGGCAATTGAATGGAGCTGAGTATTTACTGGCCAGATATCCTTCCTGTTGCCAATTGCGGAGTTTTGTTCAGCAGATATATTTTCATTGTGCAGAGGGAAATATTGGCCTCTACCTAGGATCGAACTCACAGCCTCCTGATTGTGAGGTGAGAGCGCCACCTCTAGGCCACCGTACCACTCAGCACTTAAGACTTATATACCGCCTCATAATGCTATATGGCACTTTCTGAATGGTTTATAGGATCAGCATGTTGCCCTCAACAAGGTGGGTCCTCATTTTATGGACCTGGGAAGGATGGAACCAAAAATAATCGGCTCCCAGAATCGCTTACTTGAGTTAATCTGGTAAGAGCTCAACTCATTAACACTTCTTTAAAAACCAAAAAGTGCAAATATTTATACATACCAAGCCCATGCCTGTGAGTTGACATGGGTGGCATCACGCTCCACGTTTTTGTCTTGGGGTTGTAACACTCCACAGTATTCAATGTTTTCAGTCCGTCTCTACCTCCAACGACGTACAATTTATCATCTAACACAGCAACTCCAAACTGCAATCTTCTCCCGTTCATATTTGCAACAGGAGTCCACATATTGGTACGGAGATCGTATTTCTCAATACTGGTTGCTCCTTAACAATAGTATAATATATGTTAAAGAAAAAAAAAGACTACTTGGAACAATAATTGCAGTTCTACGAAAATGAAACAGGTTAGGGACTCCATGAAGGAGGTTAGGGATGGTCTTACTAGTTAAATAGGCCAGATCCAAACTGAGATTTCTATTTATACTTGAACTGTACAGGTGATTACACCAATTAATTGCTCATGAAACTCTAAATACAGGTAGCCTCAGCTTATGGCCATAACTGAGCCCAACATTTATGTTATTAATAGACATGGGTTAAGTTTGTTCTACCCCATTTTACGACCTTTCTTGCTACATTTCTTAAATGAATCCTTGTAGTTGTTCCGTTAGTGACACAGTTGTTAAATGAATCTGGTTTGCCCTTTTGACTTTGTTTGTCAGAAGGTCGCAAAAGCTGCTTGACTACATGACCTCGGGGACACTGCAACAATCATAAATACGAGTCAGTTGCCAAGTACCCCACTTTTGATCCCACACCCATGAGGATGCTGCAATGGTCATTAAGTATGAAAAATGGTCGTAAGTTACTTTTTTCGGTGCCTGTTGTGGTCTGCTGGTGGCCTGCGGAGCTGGCAGCAGAGTCAGATAGTGGGGAGGAACATGGGCCAGTCCAGGAGTCTGGGGGGGACTCAGACGAGGGTCCTGCATCCGATACAGAGATGGGGCCAGGGCCATCTGGGAGTTATGTGCCAACCCCGGAGCCTCCAGAATCTGACATCAGCAAGGAGAAGGACAGGGAGAGCTTATTCCCAGTGTGCACTTGCGCAGAGCTGCCAGAAGGCAACAACAGTTAAGACAAAAGAGGTGACTCAGGAATAAGGTTTGGAGATGATTGGCCCCTCCCATAAGACATAAAGGTGGAGCAAAGGGACATGAGCCTTTGCAGGAAGCAACTTTGTTCATTCTGGTTGGTTTAAACTCTGAAGCTCTGTGTTGACTTTGTGCTCCGTTTGGCCTTGTACAGCTAATGGGCAATTTAGACATTGGCAGCATTTCAAAGGAGATAAAGGTGGGTGCTTATCAGCCTTATCCTGAAGGACTGTGGCACACTTCTGTTGGACTATTCATAAATTGTTTGGGACTCATTATGGGCTGTGAATGCATATAATTCACAACCGTTGAAATAAAACAAAGATTTTTGGGAACAGTGTGTGATTGTTACTGTCTCAGGAAACCTTGTTAGAACCGTGCCTTTGTAACTTTCAATGGTCACTAAATGAACTGTTGTAAGCTGAGGACGACCTGTATGATGGATTAGTTTTTAATCTTTATTATAAACCAATATACCTTTAGTGGCATCCATGCCTCCCACTGCAAACAGGACGCCCACAGTAGATTTTCTAGGCTTTGTGCGAGGGCTTTGCAACATGGGTCTTCTCTCTGGCAACAAATGGTACTTCATTGCTTCCATGATGAGTTTTTGACATTCAATGTCATCTCTGAAGAGTACGTTGTTTTCCATATCGGCTAGAAACTAGGTGAAAAGAGAAATAAATCTGCTGAATTGCTAAACCATAATAGTGGATCAGGAATAAGACAGCATGAAATACAAATTAATTTGGCACTGTGGGTATCATTATTTTAACCTATCATCAGTATGCATGCTGAATAAATGCTTTGCAATCATTGAGGCATAAAAAGAACAAGCGTTATTACTAGAAATTTCAGTTTCTGTTACATCAACTATTTTCTCCAGGAAACAAAATCAATTTACCTGAAATGTAACTACTTAACTATTTTCTCTAAGATAAAAACTATTTTCTCTAGGATAAAAAAAATCCATTTACCCGAACTGGCAATTGCTCTGTTAGATGAAACTTTCGCACAAAGTAATTGTGCTGCAGCGAGGTTAACTAACACTAGCAATAAACATGTAGTATATAGAAATTATGTTACGTATTATAGCTATCTAGTTTTGCGCTTTATGTGCTTGCAACTGCTGCAAATTTCATTAGTATTGAGAGCTTTGGTGAATGTAAGCTTCAAGGGTTTCTGTACAACTTAATTCCTAATGAACAGAGCAGTATAACACACATTTATAGGCATCAAAATCACGTTTTA